ATAAAGATTCAGACCACAGGAATTTAATTTAATTCCTGGCAGTGTAAATAAGGCTTTAAAACAGCTTGTTTAGATTTATTTATTTATTTTTTACGTTGGGAAATGAAATGTTAATGCTTCGTTTTATGAGCCCATAAATTGCTAACGATTTTCTAGGAAGTTTCTTGGAGGGAACTTTAGTGATCTGGCGTTAATTACACAGAAAACAGAGACAACAGTTTATAAAATGCAGACGATGAATTTATTCAAAGAAAGCCTCAGTTTCACTAAAAGGTACCGGAAATTAACTCAACAGCAAACTACAGGAATACAAAACATTTGAGAGACCAGAGACTCTCAATCAAAGTTATGAATCAGCTGTTTTTCTCCTTTCCTTCAATATTAATTGAGATAAACACAGTGACACATATAAACCTGTTCATCCTATTTAAAATCATTTTCAGACAGCATTCTATTTCTGTGACCTCTCTGCTGCTTCTGTGAATGAAACATGAAAATAATTTCCGCTTCACAATAACTCCTCTGTCTGCTCTTATCTTATCGTCATCACACACTCACACACTCCATTGTCTTCCTTATCAGTGTTGTGTTCCTTATCGCTGACCTGGATCCCAGATTACAGCAACAACATCAGCTCCTCTCCCCTCGCCGTCGAGCTCGCAGTGTTTTTCATAAAAGTTATGACAGAGAAGGAGGTCTGTGAGCGAGAGTGTCACACGCTTAACAAACGACTGAGTGAGTGAGCGAGGATTTAATATCAAGTGTTGCTTCTTTAAAAGTACAAACATCTAATTAGCCTTGAAAAGAATTGAACCTAATTTCTAGAATAAATGTGTGTGGCACTGTGCGTTTCTGCAGATCATGGGAACGCTAAGATTTGTATAATGAACCTTTTTGTTTCTTTATGTTTCAACAACACTGTGGTTTACATGTGGTTATGTTTAGGTTACGTTAAAACCACTTAGTTATGGTTAAAATAAAAATGTTTTGGCTTAAAATACCCGCCTTTCATGACACTATTGCTGCACTATCTCCGCTGGACATACAGGGATGTCTAGGTTTAAAAAAAAAGACTTTTCATGGCACTATACCGCAGTAAATGCAGTAATGTCTTAGTAAAGACGTTCCGTAGCACTATCCTGGCAGCTAACACAGCGATGTCTCAGTTGAAACACAACACTTTGGCAGCACTATCCTGGCCGAAAAAACAGCTGCGTTGTGTTTAAAAACGACTGCTTTTCATGGCACTATCCCAGAAGGAAACGCAGTGATGTCTCGGTAGAAAACAAGACTTTTTGCTGCACTATCCTGGCTGGAAAAACAGTTATGTTTAGGTTAAAAACAACCACTTTTCATAGCACTACTCCTGCTGGAAACACAGCAATGTATCAGTAAAAAACAGCTACTTTTCATGGTACCATGCCGTCTGGAAATGCAGTGATGTCTTGGTAAAACACAATCATTTTTTGTTGCGCTATCCCAGCAGGAAATGCGGCAATGTTAAAGTTAAGAACAACTAGTTTTCATGGCACTATACTGTCCAGAAATGCAGTGATATCTCGGTAAAAAAACAACCACTTTTGTGGAACAATCCCCGCTGGAAACGCAGCGATGTCTTGGGAAAAACGGTGCTTTTTTGGTGCATAAACTTGGCTGGAAATACAGCTATGTTTAGGCTGAAAACAAGCACTTTTGATGGCACTACCCCGCTGGAAACACAGCGATGTCTCAGTAAAAACACAGCTACTCTCTATGGCACATCCTTGGCAGGGCGATGTCTGAGTAAAAAACAACCACTTTTTGTAGCGCTATCCCAGCAGGAAAGGCGGCAATGTTAAAGTTAAGAACAACTAGTTTTCATGGCATTGTACTATCTAGAAATGCAGTGATGTCTCGGTAAAAAACAACCACTTTTGTGGAACGATATCCGCTGGAAACACAGCAATGTCTTGGGAAAAGACTATCTTTTGGTGCATGAACCTGGCTGGAAATACAGCTACGTTTAGGTTAAAAACAAACACATTTCATGGCACTACTCCCGCTGGAAACACAGCGATGTCTCAGTAAAAAACAGCTACTTTTCATGGCACTGCTCTGTCTAGAAATGCAGTGATGTCTCGGTAAAAAACAACCACTTTTGTGGAACGATCCCCGCTGGAAACGCAGCAATATCTTGGTAAAGACAGCGCTTTTTTGGTGCATAAACTTGGCTGGAAATACAGCTGTGTTTAGGCTGAAAACAAGCACTGAAACATGATGTTCCAGTTTAAAAAACTGCTGGAAACCCAGCGATGACTAAATAAATCACAAACAGGTTTGTTGTTTATTGGTATTTAACTGTGGTCTGCAGCTTGGCAGGCGTCTCGTCTAGGTTACAACATTTCCTCTGGTCACGTGATCATGGGAGGAAGCTTCAGTTTCTGCAGCCACAGAAGAAGAACAGACAGAGTGAGACCCTTTAAAACAACTTTAACATTAAACTCAACATTTAAATAAAATAAAATCAGTTGAGAAACAGCAAACTGTGACTCAGTGCTCCGATTCCTTCGTCGTGTGTTCTGGGTAATTGTGCGATTGCTTTAGTATAAATTCAGTGTGACTCACCTCGGCTCCGTTTGGAGAAAGTCCCCACTGATGAACTTCTTCCCTGATGCTGAACAGCTAACCTGATCACAGCCTGTCAACACACCGACCTCTGACCAATCACACCACTGAAGAAAAAAGTATCCATGGACAAAAGTCCAAAGAGTCCCATGTAAAAAAAAAGAGTCGTCTATAAGCTGTTATCTGTCAGTAGAGTCATTTCATTGTTTCTAACACAGAGTAAAAAGTCCAGGATTCACCTCAGAGGTGGAGGAAGAGGAGGAGAGAGTTACAGTACTTGAGTAAAAGTACTCTGTTACTTTCCACACTGATAATAAATGAAAGTGTTTTAAACGTTTTAACGGCAGCAGATATTAATTTGTATTATTCTGCTTCACAAACCCTCGTCTGATAAAAATAACCCGTGTGACTGAGTCACAGAGCGCCGGATGCTCATTAACGACCCGTCCTTAAATCTTTGACACGTTTGGGTCTCTGCTGATGTGGAACGATGATGTCAGCAGCAGAGAGCTTGTCATGCTGCGGTGGGTCATTGTGTAATTGTTTCAGTTCAAACCTCTTTTTGTTTTTACTCTAAATGAGTCACAGCAGCACTTCCTTCAACCTGATGATGATGATGATGGTGATGATGATGGTGATATGAATGAATCATAAAACAGTTCACTCACAGCCACGTCGTTGCTTTATATACGTCACAAACTACATCTTCACTTTTACAAACTAAAACATTCAAATATTTTACAGAAGTTTACAACAGGAAATGAAAACAGATCAGAGACGTTCGAGTCACACAAAACTTCTTAGCTTCTTCTTCTTTTTTTTTTTTAGACATTTTTAAGTGCTGATCATAGAAAGTGCAGCAGATGAACCGTCACACACAACGGACATTCAAACACTTTCTTTTGTTCTGTTTTTATGGTTACAGCTGTGGGCAGAGCCAGAAAAAGACACATTACACTAGTCAACACGACAGCTTTGATACAACTTTACATCAGATTAAAAATGCACAAACACTATTTCACGAGTTTTTGTTTTGTCCACTTTTTTGCGAAGTGTTCAGCCAAGACTGTCGTCCTTCAAAATACGACCACGTGTGGCATTTTTACAGGCAGAAATTATGCACAGCCTGGAAGGAATTCACATCTAATTGACCCATGGCTAAGCCCCGCCCTCAAACACGATGAGCCAATCACAGTGCGTATAGCCATTCCCATACACTGGGACATTCTCTGCCTGGACGTCCATTGAAATGCATTACAGAAAGTCAGTTTGTTCGGTTTTATGAGCTTTTTCTGAGATTTGAAGTTTAAAAATGGTCAAACGGTGTGCATGGGGTACATGCAACTCTGACACAAGGTATCCTGAGAGGCTGGGCGACCAGGTGTATTTTTTACACTTTAAACCACATCTCAACCGAGAAAAGTGTCTCCTTTGGATAAAGTTGTGTGGTAACGTTAGACCACAACATCAACTCAACGTGAATAAGATTAACAATGATGTCTACATCTGTTCTAAGGTAAGTCAACATTGTGTTTGAGGCAACATATTGTCACTTTGCTGGAAAGAAATATAAAGTTATCTTTAACATCTCTAGCTAACGTTAGCTAAAGTTAGCCTAACGTTAGCTCCTAGCTGCGTTGTTCATCATGTCACCTTGTTTGCTGGGAGTTCATTAGCCTATTTTGTTCTAGTTTTGTACTTTGGTGATCGTACATCATTGTTAGCTGTTGTCCAAAGGGCTCTAGTTAAGCTAACGTTAACTTCTGGAGCTTAGCTTCATTAACTTATCTGTAATGGCAGAGATAACAAAGGTTGGCAAACGTTATGCTGAATGATTCAGTGTAAATACTGTAGCACCAAACTAACGGAGAGACACTCTTGGTAAAGATGGTAAAAAGGCCGTTATCCTTTTCTCATATTCTGAGCCAAAAACCTTAACTTCAGTGGCACTTTAACTTGTTGTCTTTGATGGTGACGGCAACCAGATGCGGTTCACAAGCGTACACTGTGACCTGTAAATTTTGGCTTGTAATTTAAGCTTTTCATCGACCTTCTCAACAATAAAATGATGAATATATCCCTCCAATGCGTAGTTTAGGCCCTTTTGGTTACTTCTCAATCACATCTGATCGTTATGTCTCCAAAAATCATCAGTTGCCTCCTGTGAAATGCCGTGTACTGTGACACCTGCCATAGCGCCGCTCACTGAATGTTGATAGTTTGTCTGAGTGAATGGAGGGGGCGTGGCTTAGCCATAGGTCAATTGTGTCTGTACATTAACTTTCCATGTAATTCACTCACATTATATTTGGCGCCCCCTCTGGACCTGAGTAACGTGAAAACTAAGACAGATTTCTTATCCAGCTCAAAGAGACACTTTCTGTGACCAGTGTAAATAAACGTAGAAAATCGTGTCTGGATTTAATCTGAATTTGAGACATTTAAAATGACAAAAGTGTAAATATACAAACATTATAAACATTTTCTCACAGTCTAATAAAAGGAAAACAGGATTGTCACAGTAGCTCCTATTTACAACAGTATGTACACACATTTATTGTACACACACACACACACACACAAACACACACACACACACACACACACACACACACAAAGGATCTTTTTTGTCATGTGAATTAATTGCTGGTTTCGGTATTGTCATGTGAATCTTTTCCATTAACACAGCTTCATCAACATTACAGGCGACGATATTTTAAAGGAGCAGTTCTGTGTTTTTTCAGCCGCTGTACATGAACTTGTTTGTCTCCAGATTCCTGTTTTCAGTTTTTAGGGTGATCGACTGTGTGACGAAACTCACACAGACGCTACAGTTTTCACACACACTCGCAAAAACACATTAGCTGGACACACACACACATACACACACACACACAAACAGACAGACATAAAGCTCAGCAGCATTTGGTGAAACATTTGGTAAATGTTTGGTAACACAAAGCTGTAAATCGTGTCGTATTTCAAAATAAAAGCTGCTGAATTAACTCATAATGTGTGTGTGTGTGTGTGTATTTGTGTAGGTGTGTGTTTGTGATTTGTGTGCTCTGGCAAGAAGCTCAGCTTGACCAATCAGAGAGTGGAAGATGTTTAAATCCAACACAGTTCTCAAGTGTCTTCTTTCCTCGTTTGCTTTGATCTGTCCTTTAACTTTTTCTCGGCTTCACTTTCTCTGCTACATTTGCTACCACACAGTCCCGTCAGTCTGCAGTGTATCTGTATCTGTGTGTATGTGTATCTGTATCTGTGTGTGTTCAAAACGAAGTCTTTGACTCACCTGCCAAAAGTCCTGGTATAGCGCCCCCTGTGGCGTTCATTTCAACACCAGTGGCTATCTGGGACAAAACACACAACAGAATCGGGGGTTTGCTAGTGGGGTCAGGGCCGAGCAGGAACCTCCGAGGCTTAAAACCAAAGCCAATACTGAAGTGCCAAAAACTGCAGTTCCTCTAATGTCCACTAGGGGCTGGCTCCAAGAGCGAGTCAGTCCCCACAGACCTCCATGTTAAAACGTCACAGCAGAAATAAACTTGTTTACAGCCTGGTTAAAAAACTGCTTTGGTCTCTGTAGCTGATTTCAACAATCGTCACAACTGTACTGCGGATTAATTTTTATATAACTACCTCTTTACATTTTATTAAGGATTAAAGTTACGTATAATAAAGGGTGTGGCCACTTTAAGTGTCAGCTGGGTGCCGTCTGTTGACGAGATACTACCACGGTGTAGCTGTAGCTGTTGCTTTTTCAGTGTTTTCAGTTCATTTGCATATTTTTGCCACCTAAAAAAAATCTTACTCAGCGTTTGGTTGTACTTGAGGCTCTAAGGATGAACGTTTGCAGTAAGCACATTTTATCTTAATGGTTTTAAGCTTGTTTTTCACTGGTTAAAATTAGTATGAGCATTATGTGAGAGCCTGTTTACACTTGGTATTAACATGCGAGACACATCGAACAGATGTTCAGATTTTGTTACCGCCCCTTGCACAGTTATTATGTTCACACGTTTCCTAGGTGTTCCGTAGAATGTTAGCTGCTCATGTTAGCAGTTGTATCAGTACAGCTGGAGATATCGCTGTCGGCAGGATTCAACACGTCTCCTTCAATGGGGCAAAATGATGTACAGTCACGCGACACTTCGTCCAACTCAACGTAAAATGGGCAAGCTGTAGGGCATTAGCGTGCTGTCACCAAATCAACCATCACGTCCTACACCAATAACATAGTCCTTGTCGGGGACGCATCGGGACAGTGTTAGTGTTTATACTACAAAATATACGTGGTCAAATGCGTCCAAGACCACCTCAGCGAGTGGTTTGAGTGATCAGATCACATCACGTCTTTGTGGTTGTTTAGACTTGTATTTAGCGCTGTCTACTCGTGAACAGATCATCCAAGACGCACGTTAATACCAGGCCTAAACAGGCTGTGAATGCACCGTGCTAAGTAAGCTAGCAGCTAGCATTTGAGAGTTAGCTCCACCCTCTTGTCCAAATATGGTCACTTCTGGCTCCAAAAATCCAAAATGGCGACCACCGAAATGCCGAACTCGAGGCATCAAAACTGGAGTCCACAAATGAATTGGTGCCGTCAGGATTTTGGATGCTCACTGTAGTTTGATATCTTTGTTGCATGTCATTTCCTCTTTGTCTTTTCTCACTTCCTGTCATCTTTCCACAGTGTCCTTCACAATAAAAGCAAAATTAATTCCCTCAAAATACTAAAAAACAGACTGAGTTTACCTGACGAGCTCAGCTGAGTCTCTGATTCGTTGTTTAGAACTTTGGCAGGTGAGAACTTTAGACCTTGTGTGTGTGTGTGTGTGTGTGTGTGTGTGTGCGTTTCAGTCTATTGACGAGGAACAACAAACACCACTGAATGCTGTGTCTCGCTCCTTCCTCTTCCTCGCTCCTCCTCCTCTTCCTCCTTCGTGCCTCCAACTGCCACCAGCGCCTGCGTCGAGTCACACGACTGTTTCTCTGCATCCTCATCATATGTTGAATCCATCATGTTCGGCCTCGACCTTCCTCCAGCTCCTCCTCTTCCTCCTCCTCCTCTGCAGAGTCTAGGAACAGCCACGGCCCCACAGGTGCGTTTGGCCAGCGCCGCCAGCTCCTGTCGGGCGAGCGGGTTGAAGAGGATGTAGAGCAGCGGGTTGACGCAGGCCGGCAGCGGAGCCACAAGCAGGAGCACGCCCTTCGCTGCTTCCGGCCCGGCGGTGGAGAGGCGCAGCAGGGAGGAGAAGGAGAGGAAGGCGACTGGGAGGTAGAGGAGGCAGTCGGAGAAGAGCAGCCAGGCTACGTGTCGAGTCAACGCCACCTCCTCCTCAGCGGCGGGCGGAGCTTTGTTGGCCCGACAGTAAAGGTGAGTGTAGGCGAGCGTCATGAGGAGAAAACACAACGAGTCGAGGAGCACCAGGGAGACGGAGAAGGCCAGGGAGGACGAGGAGGAGGAGGAAGGCAGCGGCAAACAGAGGGAGGTGCTGCTGTGTCCAGCCACCAGGGGGGGCAGCGTGATGGCCAGGCCCAACAGAAAGCACAGACAGATGGCCAGACGGACAGAGAGCGATGAAGAGTAGCGATCTGCATAGAGACGAGACATCAGACTGAGTTCTCTCAATGTGTGTGTGTGTGTGTGCGCGCGCGCTTAGTTTCTCACCGTTGTGTCCGTCAGGTTTGTGGCGGCGTGTGGCAGCGGCCAGGCATCGTTCCAGAGCTGCGACGGTGAGCAGGAAGAGACCAGTCTGTGACGCAAACACACACAGGAAGCCGCTGAGGCGACACAGGAAGCTGCTCTCCCACCTCGCTCCGTACCTGCAACACACACACAAAATCCATGAGCTTTTATTTTGAAAGTTTTTTTCTTTGTGGTGTCATTTTTGTGGATTTCATTACATCTCAACAAAGAGGGTAAATTATATAAATTATACAGACTATAAAAGTATTTTTAAAAATGTGCTCATCACAGATCAAAGTGGTAAAAGGATTAATTTTAGGATCAAACTTTAACATCAGTTCAGTCTCATTACAGCGACGTTTAACAGCTACTAAATGGACCTGGTGGTGACATCATAGGTTCAGTCGCTGCTTTCAACAAGCCGTCTTTAAAATGTTCAGACGGATGAGAAAAAAACGACATAATTTTTATTGTTTTCAAACTGTCTGAACTGTTTTTTAACTATGCTGGATATTAAAGAAAACCACATTTTACTCTGTATCTTCTAATATTGTCTAATTATTGAAAAATATGTTAAATGTCTGAGTCTATTTCCACAAAAACAGATTTTTTCACATTGTCTCATTCTGTCCCCGAGCACTCCCAAACTTCCCACAGTTCCCACTGTCAGATTACATTTCACTAAAATCGTATTCATTTGATTTCATGTGACGGATAAACTTTATCAAATTGTTCCAAGAAATGCCAGAATTTAGAGTCCTTTGAAATCTGCAGACTCCCACAGAGCTCCACAACAGTTTCCAGTATCTGAGGGCATTGTTAGTAGAGGTGAGTCAATCTCCAGTTTTGCCAGTCTGGTGTACGAACTTAAACCAATTTGATTTAACGCAAACCAGCTCAGCTGACATTTGTCATTATGACATGTTCTGTCAAGTTAAAAAGTAGCCCAGCAACCTGTGCAGATGGCCAGGGGTGGAGCAAATCATCAATGGAATTGATGACGGAAATATGTTTATTGTCAAACATGCATTGGCTCATCGCAATAAATTAAGCTGCTGACAAAAGCGTGGACTCCACCAGAGAACAAGCTGCAGCTGAAAGCCTCATCTACAAAGTGAAAATGAGTTCCTACAGGAGAACAACACCTGAAGTGAAAACATCCTGTAGCATGATTGTGTTCTACTTGGGAGCGTCTTCTGAGCCAAGTACAGAAAATTCAGTATACCAGTCCAGACCAGTCTAGCTTTTAATATTAAACTGGTTTTAAAAAATTTTACACCAGCCCAACCCCAACTGTCAGAGTCCCCACCAACCACAGCCTCTCGAGTCCTCAGCGTCCCTCTGATCTGATTTTGTACCTCCAGAAGCTTCCAAACGTCCAGGCATCCACCGCCGCCAACCACCCACTCCACACTCCCATCAGGCCGTTCACCAGGGCCAGCAGACCAATCAGCAGCTTGGGTGGCGTCACTGCGGCGGTGGGGGAAAAGAACACTGACAGGACGACCAGGCTGTTGCTGACCAATGAGAGCGCGGCGATGAGCCACACCCCTCCACGGATCAACCAGCTGCCGAGCAGATGGAGGCAGGGGCGGAACGGACCTGGAGGACGATTAAACCAAATATCAGTTTACTTCACAGTAAACAAATAATCAATGGAATCATGCTGTGTTTAAAATGTGATTAATCTCGACTGTCACAGAGACACATTAACAAATTACTCCAGTCTGAGATCTCTGAGCTGAACTCTCAAAGTCTGAGTCAAGTAAAATCAGTGATTTCTGTCCAAACACATTAAACAAGTCAGAAAATACTTGTTGGAAACATGTGAGGACACTGAGAACTCCACAAAAAATGCATTTTAAGTCTTGTGTGTGATTTATCCTGGCTTCATATGAGCAGAGGAAATCTCCACTAGTCGCTAGGCTAATTTATCCAATGTAAAATGCCATAGGATTGTGCTAATAACGTTAGCATGTTGTATTTGTTTGGAAAACATGTTTAGTATAAGACAGTTGTTTTGTCGGTGAACCTTGTGAGTTGTAATGGAGCCAAATTATGTAACGTTACCTTTGTTAAATGTTGCTGTTGTCCCTGGATTTATATGAGAAGAGGAAATCTCTGCTAGCTGCTAGGCTAATTTATACAATGTAAAATGCCATAGGCTTGTGCTAATAACGTTAGCATGTTGTATTTGTGGGGAAAATGTGTCCAGATAAAGACAAGTGTTTGTCTGTGAATGCTGCGAGTTATAGTGAAGCTGATTGTGTTTGAAACTGTCTCTATTAAGGCATGTTTAATGAGTGTTTAATGTATGTTTAATGTGTGTTTAATGTGCTTAATGTGTGTTTGTTTAAAGTGTGGTTAATGTGTGTTTACTGTTTAATGTGTGTTTAAAGTGTGTTTAATGTGTGTTTACTATTTAAAGTGTGTTTAAAGTGTTTAATGTGTGTTTACTATTTAAAGTGTGTTTAATGTGTGTTTACTGTTTAAAGTGTGTTTAAAGTGTGTTTAATGTGTGTTTAATGTGTGTTTGTTTAAAGTGTGTTTAATGTGTGTTTAATATACAGTACAGGCCAAAAGTTTGGACACACCTTCTCATTCAATGCGTTTTCTTTATTTTCATGACTATTTACATCGTAGATTCTCACTGAAGGCATCAAAACTATGAATGAACACATGTGGAGTTATGTACTTAACAAAAAAAGGTGAAATAACTGAAAACATGTTTTATATTCTAGTTTCTTCAAAATAGCCACCCTTTGCTCTGATTACTGCTTTGCACACTCTTGGCATTCTCTCCATGAGCTTCAAGAGGTAGTCACCTGAAATGGTTT